GACAGCCAGCGCGCGGGACGCCCTGGGACCCCCGGGACCTGGAGGGAGGGGGCGCAGGGCTGCTATGGCCGGGACCCCAGGAGCAGGGGCCGCGCACCAAAGCAGCCTGCGGTGGTGCCGCCAGGGGGAGCATCTGGCGCCTGAAACCGACGGGGGCGGGAAGGGGGGGCTGGGGTCTTCAGCCAAGGGTTTCTGCCTCGGGTCAACTGGTTTTATTGGGTTTTTGGTTTTCTCTGCCCCGTGCGGTGTGTTTGACTTTGCATGCCAACGCAACTTCCTCTGGGCCAGGGGTGAGCGCATGCGATGTGCGCAAGCCCCTGGGAACCACCTGGATGCCCCCCCAGTGTGGAGCACTGCACCTGTCGCAAAGGAGGGGGTCGGGGGCAGATCTGCCTTGGCAGGGAAAATGCCCACCGCAGACAAAGTGAAAAGGCGACGCGCAAAATGTCATGCACAGTGTAATCCATTTTTTAAATTCTGTGTTTATTTTGTGTAGACAAAGGAAAAAATATCAAAGAACGCACATGGTTTTCACTCTCTTCTGCAAAGGGGAGAGAGAGCACTTTAGACAAGTCTGTATTGTCTAATGCCACGAGTAAAATACGTAATTCATATGACCGAAATAAAACGTCAAACGTCCTTTAAAAACGTGACTCCAAAAATTGGCTCCTGGAAATCCATGTTGTGGGTCAGGCTCAGCCGCGTCCATACCAGCACCCATGGCCAGAGAGGGACCTGTGCAGGCCCAGCCGGGCCTCCGGAGCCAGGGAGGCTAGCCTGATGGGGTAGATGAACCGTTCGTGTCACTAGAGGTTCTGAAGCTGGAGGGGGCTTGGAGGCATTTCCCACACAGCCCGCTGCTGGCTTGGAGAGAAGCCTGCAAGAGCAGGAGGCAGGGAGAATGGTCAGCAAACTTGGGCCCAAGCCTATGACAGAGGGCGGAGGTGATAAGCGCAGGGGGGAGTTGCCAGCAGGAATCAAGGAGGGCAGAATTGGGACACAGTCCTCATCTCAGAGCCTCCTATCAGGTATCTCTGATTCCACCTAAAAGCCTCTTAAAACTGAAATCAGATCAGAGCTCTGCGAAAAACTTTGCAGTGGCTCCCATTTTATTCAGAGTCAAAGCCCAAGTCCTGACAGGGGTCCTTGATCTGCCTGACTCCCCCACCTTCTCAGATGGCCCCTCCCCCCACTCTCCCTCCCTCCCTGGCTCCATCCTGCTGGTCCCCTTGGCTTTCTGCAGACTAACCAGGCACCAGCCCTCCCCAGGGCCTTACACTGGCTGTTCCCTCTGCCTGGAACCCACGTGGCTCAATCACCTCCTTCAAGTCTTTGCTCAAACTTTTAGCTCCTCTTTACTCCTGATCCTCCTAAAAATATCATTTTTCTTATTTGTTTGTGCTTTTGAATGTCTCCCCTTCAAAGATAACAAGCACCTCAGGGGTGTGTGCTCCACCGATGCCCTCAGCGCCTAGAACACTGCTTGGCGTGCAACAGGTGCCAGATAAATACCTGTTGGAAAGAGAATGAATAGAGGAAATTTCAAGGTGGAATTCATTAGAACTGTGCAGACGCTGCAGAGGCATCCAGAACAGGATTCTGGAGAGGGGTTGCAGGAGACGTGGACCTGGGAGTCACGGGCAGATGGGCTGAATCTGTGGGGCACTAGGCCGGCTGCCACGGCCGTCCTCACAGACCGTAACCACAGGCTCCCTCGAAGGCAGGGTCAGGGGTTGGCCAGAGAACCCCGTCATCTCGGCCTTGGAAATGCCTGGGCACAGCCTCGTAAGGATCAGCTGCAGGAAGGCTCTCCTTATGTTTTGTCTACCTCCCCCGCCCTTAGTCACTTGGGAAAGCTGTTCCCAGGAGCACATTTAGGATCTCACCTGGTATCAGTTTTGCAATCCAAGGGCTCAGTGAAAGTCTAGAGTAGTTTCTGCCTTGTCACCAGCTAAGCTCTACTGAAAAATTACGGCCATAAAAATCAATAGTGTCCCTGTACAAGCGCAACAATTACTTAGGAAATACAAGGTGACAAAGATCCCGTTCACAGTGGCAGCCAGATAGATATGAAATCCTGGGAATGAATTTAACACTGTGAGGACCTGGTCAGGTGAGGCTGCAGCCCAGGAAACATTCTCACTGAAACCTCACCACAGACTCTGAGCCAGAATCGCCTCGCGCAGCTGTTCCTATGACCATCAGAGTACATATATAGTTTTAATCTGCTGAACTTCTGGGCAATTTGTTAAACATCGATACATAACTAATAAAATCTCAAATTAATTTATACAGTTAATACAATTTCAAACCAAACCTGAAAATTAATTGGGAAGTGAGGAAGAGGCTTGATAAAATGATTCCCAAGTTAGCCAAAAAGGTTAACAGATGAGGACAGCTTAGAAAATAGTGAGGAATGCTGAACCCTACTGCCAGCATCCAAACGTATAAAATCAAACC